TACTATACATTCAATAAATTATATTATTAATATTATAAGTAAATTGTAGATATATTAATTTTAAATATTTTATTTACTCAAATAACCCTATGCTTTCCATATAGTAGCTTCTGCAGGATAACAAAGGTAGTAAGTCATTTTGTACTAATCTGAAAACAGAGACAAGAAAAACTTGTTCCCCAAATACGAGTTCAGTGATTTGTCTAGTGACTAGATAACCCTCTTGTCTCTGCAATAATGACATAATTTCTAAAGTCAACATTCCCCAAAAATCCAGAATGCTAATTTATAGCTATGTTGTAATTATAAAAAATGCAATTTGATTTCCTGATCAACTAAAACACATCTATTTCCAATTTTCTAATTTATTTTATGCTTAAATTTCAATTTACTTTCCAAGCTCCATCACAAACTATAAAACTTCTAAAATATAATTTATTTCAGAGAATTTGATCATCATTAATAGTCTTGCTACAGTTACTTTATACCAATGCTTCATTGTTCCTGCTCCTGCAAAAAAGCATAAAATTTCTTGGCCTGCATATTTTCCACTATTTTTATCCTAACATCTACAGAAGCAATTTTTTTTTATACCCATCATTACAGTATACTATTCTCTCAGTAATAAATTATAGATCTTTCTTTCTTTCAATGTACCAGCTGTATCCCACTGAGGTGGGGTGGCCCAAAAGGAAAAATGAAAGTTTCTCCTTTTAAATTTAGTAATATATACAAGAGAACGGGTTACTAGCCCCTTGCTCCAGGCATTTTAGTCGCCTCTTACGACACGCATGGTTTACGGAGGAAGAATTCTGTTCCACTTCCCCATGGATATTTATACTATATCATTTCCTTTATTAGTAACTTCAACACTATATATAAAAAAATAGCCTTTACCAGCAGAATTCGAAAAAAAAAAAGTACAAAATACAACTGTGATAAAAATTGGTGACTGCCAAGTAAGAAAATATGCAAAAATGGGAAATTGTATTTCTCCCATTTCACATTTTTCTATACATTACTACATTAATATATCTAGCAGCTTGCAGGAATACCTTGTGAGAGAGTACGAGTGAATGTGAGCGAGTGCGTGTATGATTTTAGTCAATAAATCTGATCCAAACATTTTATGTTATCATTGCATTAACTATGACAAACTAAAAAGGTCTTTACCTCTTTTCAGCCACAAATAAACATTCTACCGAGAATGTCTGCATAAAATTTATTCACAATAAGCAAAAAATTTAATCTCCAATTTCTGTCAGCTGGAACCTTTTAGTTATAAATGCAAGTACCATAAATATTACATTTACAGTACTTATATGAATTCTTCAGTTTTTGGTTTATCCACATGTGAAGCATTTTTCCATCACACGAGCAGCTTAATGTGCAGTACAACTTTTTTATTCCTATGTACAGTATTATTTGGTTCATGTGTGTTGTAAATTGAAAATTTACAGCACTAAATAACCCTTTAGAATGTTCAATAAATTATTTTGTTATATATATACATATACAGCCAGAGTATATTTTATCTTAATAATAAGCCCTAATTCCCATCAATGTATCACTGAATGTTTGAGAGAAAAAAAAACTCACTGAGACATAGATGTGACATAAGAATAAAACCCTGGCTCAAGGATCTCTGCCTGGGCCAACACAACACGCAAGTCTACTTCATCCAGGTCGAAGACTGTGCACAGAGATCGACGGAGCGATCCATATCCAGACTTCCTTCGCTGTGCTGACCTAAATCAAGTAAAATAATAAATAAGAGACTGGTCATTTTATTTGAGAAACTGAACGGCACTAAAATTTCTATGTTTTATTAAAGTAGAAGGAATGGGGAGAGTTCAGTTACAAGCCACATAGTTTGAAAGTTTATTTATATGATATACTTGGAGGGAGCATGAAGTGAATTTATTTAGAGATTTAGGAATATTATTATTATTATAATCAAAAAGAAGCGCTAAGCCACAAGGGCTATACGCCTGCGGGTAGGGAAAGGGAACGAGGGTATAGGATGGCAGAAGGGAAAGGGGTGTCAGTAGGTTACAGAAAACAGGGGGAAGTACGGGGGAGGGGTAGCAAGAGATTGAAGTAAAAAAGGGTAAAAGGTATCAGAATTTGTAAAGAAGGGTTTTTGTCAAAAAGTCAATGGAGAGTCGGATGAAAGGGGGGGTCCATCGCGAGAAGGGAAGGAAAGAGGAGCAGTAGAGCGAAGACGACGAGGGAGGAAATTTGGTGCTGGGTTGAAAAAGTGGGCACCCAACGAATGTTGATGTAATGGAATTGGTTTTCTCACGAGAGGAGCGGGCCCCTCTCCATGAGATACCATGAGTAAGACGAGTATGCCAATGCGAAGACGGGAGAGAGTAGTCTCCCAACCTCGACACTGGTGATAAGAAGACGGCAGTAACCTATACTCGGTTTAATAGATTGAAGTTTGTTGCCGAGCATAGTAGACCAACGTTGTTGCCCCAAAGGGTGTGAAGTTGGGAAGATTTGCAGCAAAATAGTCCGTAAATGGAATACCTCTACATGAAACTGGTAGGTCATGTACTGCTGACCGCACAGCAGTGTGCCTGTTCATTGCCCTGTATGTCAACATGATCAGGGACCCAACAAAAAACAATATCTTTATGCTTGGTAAAGATACGGCGTAGCCCAAAATTGGTTACGGAGGACTAGGGTGAGGTGTATCAAATTTCTGTATAGCCTGTAAAGCACTAAGGGAGTCTGAGACAACCACAAATGATGACACAGGCATAGATGCAATACGGATAAGTGCTGTAAGGATGGCATACAATTCAGCAGTAAAAATACTAGCCGAAGTAGTAAATGCCCTTGTATGATGCGTCCGGAAACTGCTGCGAATCCTACGCCGTCAGAAGACTTAGAGCCATCTGTGTACACAGCAATGGCATGAGAATGAGAGTGAAAGTGGTCAAGAAAAAGAGAGTGGGAAGCGACCGTAGACAGTTGGGCTTTCGAGCAAGGGAGAGAGAAAAAACAGACTCAAAACAGCTGGAACTTCCCAGGGGGGTAGGGAAAAGTGAGATGCTACATGTACATAGAAAGGTGGAAATTTGGGAAGAGAAGACAAGAGGAATGAAGGCGAAGAGAGAAGGGACGGAAGTAAACGGGGGAGACGAACAAATAAAGAACGTCTACTAATATCAGTGACCATTCTTAAATGGAAGGATTGCGGAGATCATGAGAGCGTACATAGTAGCGAAGGCAATGGGCATCACGGCGATGGAAATAAGGATGGAAACGTTCGCTTCTGCATAGAGGCTCTCGACAGGGGAAGAGCGAAAAGCACCAAGGCATAAACGTAATCTTGGTGATGAATGGGGTTAAGGCTAGAGAGAGTAGCAGGAGAATGCCGTGGAAAAAGATCTGGTCACCATAATCAAGTTTCGATATAGATAAGGGTGGAATGTAGGCGAAAGGAGGGTTTCGACGATCAGCTCCCCATGAAAGATGAGCAAGGGTTTTAAAGAAAGGGTTTAGCCGGCTGTGACAAGTTGCCTTCAGAGAGGTAATGTGAGGTTTCCAGGATAACCTACGATCAAAGAGGAGGCCCAGAAAACTTGACTGTATACGTTCAGGATACGGGAGCCATAGAGGTTTCAAAGGATGATCGGAGATGACAGAGCGTCTAGTGAAAATAATTTGGTGGGTTTAGTGCTGGAAATTTTTAAACCCACGTGTGGTGGCCCAATTGGTAAAACGGTCGACTGGATGCTGGAGAGAAAACTGTGATAAGGTGACAGTCAGCGCCTGCACAGGCAATATGAAGTCATCAACATAGAGTTGACCAAATATTTGATGGAAGATAGAGGCCAAATCTTAATAGCAAGGAGAAAAATGTGTGCTCAGAAAAATCCCTGGGGGACACCCTTTAGCTTGGTTAAATCGGGGAGAGCCCCTTATTAAACCCCAACAGGAAATGCCTGTCAGGGTTAAAAAGTTCTTAGGAGGTGGTTTAGATTGCCTCGGAGGCCTAAGGAGTGGGCTTGGGCTAAAAATATTTACCTCCAGTTGTGTCTTTCCTTTCAAGGTCAAAAAATATGGCATTAATAACAGTGGTTATTCGCAAAGGCATTACGAACATACGTATCCAAGCGTAGTAAGGGGTCTATGGTAGAACGTCCCTTACGAAAGCCATATTGACGAGTGGAGAGACTGTTGTGCGTCTCTAAATACCACACTAAACATCTATTTACTAGGCGTTCCATCACTTTGCAAACTGCACTGGTAAGAGCAATGGGACGATAGTGGGAGGTTTCATGTCCCGTAGTGCCTGGTTTGCTGAAAGGGAGAACAATGGCGGATTTCCACAGCTGTGGAAGAACTCCTTGTGACCAAATAAGATTGTAAAGGCGTAATAGACTGCAAGGGCTGGCTGAGTAAATGTTGTAGCATACGAATATGAATGTTGTCGGGCCATCTGGTGATCGGCAAGTGGGGTTTGCCTCCAGTTTTTTGAAGTGAAAAGGCAATTAACTGTTCTTCTCTGGAGAAAAAAATCCAAGGGGTCTAACTTCTGGCAGATTTTGAGGAAAGAAATGGGGCATAGATGGAGTCCCTGAGAAATTACGGACCAGATGATTCCCAAATTTCATTGGCAACATCTAGTGGGTTTGCTCTATCAACACGGCAACCCGCAGAAACAGGAGCCGGGTCAGGAGAATATTTACCACTCAGTTTTCGTACATTTTTCCAGACTGCACTCATGGAGGAAGCAGAGGTGATGGTGGAGACATAATCTCGCCAGCAAGTGCGTTTTAGCGTCACGGATGACACGGCGAGCGATACACGCTTCTGCTTAAAATCAAGAAGTCTCTCTGTGGTTCTATTGTACCGGTACCTGCCCCATGCAGCGCGTTTCAACCGTACCGCACGAACACAAGCAGGAGACCACCAAGGCACGCATTTCTGAGAATGCCTGCCCGAAGTTTGGGGTATAGAACGAGAAGCTGCGGTTAAAACGGAGGACGAGAAGAGGTATAAAAGCTCATCGATGGAGGACGAAGAAGGAACCTCTCTAAAAACAGTTAGGTGTGAGTAAAGGTTCCAATTTGCCTGATCAAATTGCCAGCGTGGGATGCGAAGAGGTGGTGAATATGAAGGGGAAGTAAGAATGATTGGGAAATGATCGCTGTCATGTAAGTCCGGAAGAACAGACCAAGTGAAGTCTAATGCGGCGGAGGAAGAGCAGACTGAGAGATCGATGCAAGAGAGAGTGTGAGTCCGAGGATCAAAATGGGTGCGAGTACCTGTATTTAAAACATGGAGGGGGTGGGTGGCAAGAAAAGCCTCTAACTGAATGCCACGGGAATCACAGTGAGAGCTCCCCCCCCCAGAGGAAATGGTGGGCATTAAAATCACCAAGTAACAGAACCGGTGGTGGTAATGACGAAACAAGAAAGGCAATATCTGGAATAGATAATGCCCGAGAAGGAGAGAGATATAAAGAACAGAGTGTATACCATCTATGCAAGTGGATACGGGCTGCTGTGTAATGCAGCGAAGTACGAACAAATAGCTGATGGTACGGAATATCAGTGCGTAGAAGAAGGGCACTTTCATTAAAGGTCCCATCAGGAAAAGGATCTGAAGAATACAATAAATTATAGCCTGAGATGGGAGAGATAACAGCAGAGTGTAATTCTGGTTCCTGTAAGCAAACACCAACAGGGGAAAACTGGGAGAGTAACATCTGAAGCTCACCCCGATTACCCGAGGCCGCATATATTCCACTGTAAATAGGCCATGATTGGCAATGATAAAGATACCTGAAATCCGCAGGTAAGGGTTCCTATGGACTAGAGGGGTTAGAAAAGTCCAAATGCGGAGGCAGTGGAAAACGTTCAAGCAGCGAAGGAACGGTGCGCTGTGAAGAAACGAGTGCGCAGATGGAGTAGAGGAGAGAGAAGGAGCAGAGGGTGGATCAGTGTCCATTGATGGTTTGGTCTCTGCAATATATTCAGAGATTGCTTCAAGTGTTTCAGAATTCAGAGACGTCGTATGGGAGACAATATTGGAAATGGTAGGGGGAGGATGAGTAAAGATTGGAACTGTAATGGACTGTACCAAGGTAGGGGGGGCGAAAGGGTGGAGGGAACTGGAGAAGCGTGGAAGGGGACAGAAGAGGCAGAAACCTGGGAGGTGGCAGAAGAGGAAGAAACTTGGGAGGGAACAGGGGAGGAAGGTACAGTACGAGGAGGAGGGTGAACCTCTACACTTGTAACAGAGCCAGTGAGAGGGGGAGAACCAGGTACAGAGACAGGGAAGGGAAAATGAGGTGGAAGATGGGTAGGAGGTGTTAACGGACCTTTTTTTGACTTTTGAGAAGTAGAGGGACGATTGGGAGGAGGTGTCATACGAGATCTCGTCGCTACTGGGGGCTTGTGAGAGAGAACACGAAGAAGCAAGATCAGACTGAGATGTTGAAGTAGGGACGTCTGAGTCGAGGACAGCAAAAGAATTAGCTACAGGAGTGACTATGGGAGAGGTAACCACAGAGGTGGGTGCAGAAGATGGGATACCAGAAGTGGGGGGACGTTTTGAAACATGGGAATAAGAAACACGAGGTAGTCTCCCTTGGAGGCAGAGATGAGAAACTGCCATGGCATAAGGGAGACCTTCTGCCTCTTTGAGGTAACGGATTTCCCGCTCGTTTAAAGTAGACTTGACAACGGCGAGAGTACGAAGGGTGAGCCTCATGACAATTAAGGCAA